AACTTTCGAAGAAGATGAGTATTTCATATGATAGAATATGCTACCGACTACCAACAGTCTTGAATGATTCCATAAATTGTTAGAATGATGGGTTTGTCTAAAAAAATGTCTGCATTTCATGAAACACTACTATTTATAACTTGGCAACGCCTTGTCGGATTTTCAAAAATAAAAAACTGATAATCAGCCTAGAGGGATGAGAATTCAGATATGTTGAAATATATGGTGTGTTCCATTTGAAAAAATTGATGTTCGATTTTGTGAGCCTTTCTTGCGCCCCTCGTATAAAATTTAGTCATTCCTGAAGTTAGCACTCATGATGCGATATGATGTGGAATTATAATATCTTGAAAATTCCTATTGGTTCAGGAGATATTCAACTGTCCCACTGGTCTAGGGACATCCTGTATATATTTCAACTCTTGGAGGATATATATAATTTCTTGGGAATATTTCCTTTGGCAAACGAATTCCAACACTTTGTTATTCTATGGAAAGATGAGTTCTGGTAAAGAGTTGTTCGACATCTCGAGGTTGACAACGAAAGGATGTGCTTACTGGGCATGTCGAGTAGATACGTCTGACTGGTATTGCTAAAGATAAAATGATAACGGAGATTTTTCAAGAAAGAATCGGAATGGCAGGTCGAAAAAATTATTACGATGTTCCAATGATGTCAAGAAATTAGTGAGTGAGGTAACCAACCAGGTGATAGGATATAAGAGCATCATAAGAGTATGTTTGGGTACCGAACCTCATATATGTGGGGATAGTATTCTGAAACGGGCCGTATCTATATGATTTGTACATCATGAGAAGCCCGTGAGGTGTGAAGTAGCTTTTTGCTCGGGATGAAAATCCGAGTTTCGGTGGAGTATGTTGAGTAGCTTTAGCGATGGATCTGACATGATCTTCCCATAAAAGGGTTTTACTGATGGAAAAACCGATCATAAGTATACTGAACTTCGCAGGAATCGTGGTACCTATATACCACGTTTTTCGTTTTCCTAGAGGGAGGCTTGAGTTTCAGTGGCCTAATGTTCAACTGGGTAGTTGGTTCTCTAGGCTGTAATTTCAGCAATTTCTGCATTGGCAGCGTTGAACTGATGCCTTTCGTCGTGAGTTATTAGGTTCCTGTGATATATGATGGAAATTCTGGAAAGTTAGGGATCTTTGATGGTGAACTTCTCGATCATGTTTATATCAAGATTCAGACGTATCAACATTTCTAGCGGGGTGGAAATCCTTCTAGCGAAAACGTGTAATCATCAATTACTTATAAATCTGACGTCGTCAGGGATTATTGAGGATTTCTCGGAGGTTTTCTTTAATTGCTCGATATATCATTCCTACTTGGAGATTGAAAAATATCTGTCCTTTGTTGAGATAAAGGCCCGCGACTGAACTTCAGTGGAGACGGAGTGGGTTCAGATCTACTCCAAAATACTATACACTTACCATGGTTAATACATTATTTCAAAAGCTATCCATAGCAATTTAAAAGTCAATCATTTTCCCAATATCATATCATTCAATAATAATTCTTGAAAATCTTGACACAATAGTGACAAATAATTCGAATATTGAAGTGCTATATATTCATAAAGTTGAACTTTAGCTCCTACGAACTAAAGAGGATGTCATCAAGAATAAAGAACATTGTTATATACACCATATTATAGGTGAGTATTTTTGTTTTAATCAGGAAAGCCTCCAAGATTCACATACTTGCTTGATTAGTATTTCATTCATTCTAGGGATCTGAATGATTTGATAACATGTTTTCGAATAATCACGACCAGCAATACTTTTTTGTCTCACACAACGCTATTGTTTACCTTCATCTGAAAACCAAGCCAAACACAGTAAGATATGGGGAGAAATAAATAATCGCTATCATTTTTGTTGATATGCCCACTAACCTAACATTTTCTAATTCTTTTTCCTATAACTAGCACTGACGCGGTATTTGCTATATGGGCTGACACCTGGTCCAAATGAATTCATCGATTCAATAGACTACACAAATGGTTCACTTTGTAGTTGTATTTATATTCACTACGATTCGAACATCTTTGAAAATTGAATAAACCTGATCTGTGAATATTCTCACCACACGGATTATTTGTTTCATTGCATACATATGGTACGGCAACCACGTTTCGGGTATGGTATTGAATTCGTGCCTGTGGTATCTGATGATGCATGTCAACACAAAATTGTAACAAAGTAAAGTCCACCAATATTCTAACGTAAAGTAGTATGAGGTCTTGCTTCTATCTACTTACCAATATTATTAAAATGAAGGTATTATAATAATCTGTCAAGTTATAAGTCACATTGGTGGTTACTTCACAAATTTATTTCAGTTAATTCTTTCGGTAGCTTGTCCCATGTCTCAAGAGAATGTGAAAATATTCTATGTATTGCAACCTATATCATGCGGCGTGCCCAGGGTACTGTGTTAGGGCCTTTGCTGTTCGCAATATACCACAGCTCATCTAGTCAGCTTTGCCGATGAAATGGTTAAACTCTATGGAGGTGATAACTGGATTGAATTAAATGAAAAAATAAAACGATATCTTCCTGAATTGTTAACTTGGTTTGATAACAGACTCCCATCCATCAACAATAAAAAAAAACATTCTACCTACCATTTTGCAGCTCATCTTTTCAACCCCTATCCCAAAATATTGATCTCGATAACAACTTGCAAATGAAATCTGAAACTCAAATAAAATATTTGAGCATAATGATGGACAGTCACCTTCGTTGGGACAAGCACATGACCTTCTTGGTGAGGTAGCTATAATGTGTCTTATAAAAATTGAAGAATACCATATATCATAGCCTATTAGAATCTCATCTCAATTATGGAATGGAGTGTATCGAATATACCTCAAACAAGTAGAAGTTATCCAAGAGAGCTTCCTGAGGATATTGCTACGATGAAACGTACGTTTCCTAGCGAAGTACTTTACATGGAGATGGATATTAGATCTCAGACAACTATACTTTTGTGATGTATCAACAACTCAGTTTCTGCACCAAAGAATATACTCATGATTACAAAGCAAGCATAGTGCTGCAGGCATGTTTTTTTCGGTGTAGGTCCAGGGTGATGTGTGAAATCAACGATACAAGCCAATTATTTCAAATGGAGAACTTGATTAAAACTAGTGGTGATTCAAAAAGAAGGAGGAAACAAAAGTTAGGAGCTGAGAAGTGTGAAATTTCCAAGATTACCACGTTATTTACGAATACTACTACTGTTTCGGATAATACAGTTGAATATTATGATGAATTTCCATCAAGTAGTAGCAGTATGATGATTGAAACAGGAATGGATGTTGACTTTGCGATTATTATGGAAGAAAAACTATTATTCCAGATTTTTTGGGATTTTCTCTCTTCGTTTCTATAAAATGAAAATATGAATATTATTTCAATATACGTGTAGTAAGGACAAATCAGATGATTTGCCCCAAAATATCACTGCATTCAAAGAATTTTCCTACCAGAGAGCCTGAAAGAAAAATTCACTAGCTTGTCAGTGAGAATTTGTATTGAAAAAAGTTTGGAGAAGAGAAATAAAGGTATATATATAAAAAATGTCAAATTTCAACTTAGCTAATGACGAGACTTCTGCTACTACTGCATTCGAAACTGTAGGTAAAGATGGTGTGAATATAAAAAGTATTATATCTGAAATCCACGAGGAGCCCATACCTGACTTGAATGCGAGAACTCCTGGAGATGGAACTGAGTCAGATGAATCATTACTGGATGTATCAATTGAAGGATCATTTCCTTGTGATAAAGTCAATTTCAGTGGCCGAGAATTGAGGAATTGTGAAGCTTGTAAGTTATTCAATACAACTAATAGTTCATGGAGGGAAGAGACTTCTGACTGGGAAGGTTTGTCTCGAGGGGGCCCTAAATGATTTTGGCGGGGGGCCCAAAATATGAAGTTACGCCACTGCAGACAGCACCAGATATTTCATGAATATCCCTATCATATTCCTTTTGGAATATTGGAATATTCTAGAAAAAATCTGGAATGTTCTTGGAATATTCAATTAATCATATTCCAAAATAAAAAAAAAGAGATCTAAGTAGGGATCGCACTCGTGACCTCGAGACTATCAGAGCAAAGCCTTGACCACTAGGCCAGTAATCGAATTGAATAATGTTGTACATATCAATTTCTTGTGAGAGCTTTGTTCGAAATCGGATCATATTTATTTCATAAATATACAAGAGAGAATATTCATTTGGGAGTATTCCTGGAAAATTCATACCTGAATATTCCCTGAACATATCCGACTATTCACTTTGGAATATTCCTTTTAGATGTTCCAGAGGCATATATATATCCTAGGAATAATCGATGAATATTCGGAATATACTCCTCCTTTTTATCAAATTTTGAGAATATTCTAGGAATATCCAGTGCTGTCTGGGATTGACACCCTGCAACTAACTTAGATCAGTTTGAATCACGGCAAGTTTGGATGTTGACACCCTGCAACTAACTTAGATCAGTTTGAATCACGGCAAGTTTGGATGTTCGCAAAAAGGACATTTCTTCTTTCATTTGCTTTTTGTTTCAACTCGTTATCACATGACAGAAGTATGTCCGGAATAATAGGAGAAAATAAATCGCTGTGCCCTGAATTTGGCTCAGACTGAGGAGTGGCACAAGTTGGTTTTTGAGATCTACCATTCAATTGGTATCGGATGGCATATACTTCTTATCTTGTTATCAAATCACTTAATCAAGTGCAAATTTCCACCCGGGAAAGTGCAATTTTTTCAATCATTTCACTCAGGATAGTGATTGGCACAGGTGCCGTTCAATGAACTAGAATGTTTTTACTCTCCTTCGGGACATATATCGTTTCATTATCAGATGACCGTAGAGATCTGCCGCCGGGTGTCCTACTATATAAACTTCTCAAGAAATATCTAGCAGCAAGATAGTTGAAATGTCAACTTACATATTCTGATAACGATTTCATTCCAGTCGGAAATCTTGTTCTATCAGCAACGAGTTGCCCGTAAGAGTTCCTCTCCTTTTCCAACCAACAATCATCGACATTGATGTACTCGTAGCCTGCATCGGCATAACCTTCATTCACGACGATGTCTGCCATGGTCTTGAAAAGGTTCTCACTGAAACAAAAGCAAGTGGTGTTATCAGAAGGTGTCTATGAATTCTATTTTACGCCGGCGGGAGTATAAGTTAGTTTCTCTGGTAAAAGAGGGGCAGAAGTTTATACCAATTTCCCATTTTCCGCCTAGCTCTGCGCTTTCGTTTCAGAACAACCTTCTCTGTAGCGAGTATAAGCTGCATCATACAGATTTCTAGATCTCACTGGTAGCAAGTTGAGAATCACTGCAGAAGGAGTATCAACAGTTTCTTGGGGTTTTCCCTCGATTTCTTGTTCCATAACCGTCTGATAACCGTTAATCATTTTCAAAGCTCTTTTCATAAACTTCAGTATGATATTTGCTGCCACCATGGGTTGTCAACAAGATGCATGTTGTCAAGATACGAATTCTACAAACTATACGACTACTATTTATGACAAAACACTTTGACCAAATTTTCATTCTTTCCTAATTTCTGTGTTTTCGTTAACGTAAAAAATGGTATATACACCTCAGGACTGAATGCTATTTTCCCGCGCACCTTGGGAAAAATCTTGCATTTCTGTCCCTCGATGTATAATGTACAATGTACAATTTATGAAGTTCAGGTTGATTTTTGACCGGATTCACAGATCTATGCATTATTTGTCAAAATGGATATAATTATATCAATCTATTTTCAAGGTCAGATCCATTTGGATACTTCGTCGAAGAGAATTCAGAGTCATGGAACTACAAAATATACACCTATTCATAAAAGCAAAGCCAGTGTTACATAGTAGTTTCGGGTCAACGGGTAAATGATATCAAAAATGAGAGTAGGTAGCTGAAAATAATTTTATTTCTGACTGGTATATTATAAGCTTATATCATCTTAGTTACACTATCAATCAGGAGGGTCATAACTCCCTTGGGATGTTATAGATGCTATCATTCCCTCTAGCTAAAATTAAATAAGAAATGCATAGCAACAACCACGCAATAACGTAGCAATAAGGAATCTCCTATTCGCGGTAGTCAAGATCATCATCTGACGTTCTGATGACATTGAAAATATACGGAAAAACATGTCTAACTTTCAATCGGGAAGGTATCTAATGAATGAAATCAGTCAGAAATAAAATTATCTATGTATCACGGGAATTATAGAGCCTTAATAACCTCTGGCAATTGCTGTCCCTCGGGCCAGAGGCCATCGGGACGCAAACTTTGCCATCGGTAATTAAGGCCCTCATAATTCCCTTAATACATAAATAACTATTATAAATCAATTCTGTGAATGACCAATCCTATCCTTTTTTCGAATCTGTTGAAGCGCACGAAAGGAAATTCATTTAATATTTAAAGAACGTCGTGCCTACCTAGGGAGAATAGGGAGTGGAGGTAGGTGTTGGAATTTTTTTGAACTTTCGGAGGTTATAAGTTCTTGGGACTACTCCTATTGGCAGAGAATTTCAAAGCTTTGCCGTTCTATAGACGAACAAGTTTTTGTAGAGTGTTGTTCGACAAATTCCAAGGTTGACAACGGAAAGATGTCCTGACTGGGCCTGTCGAGTTTTTCTGACTGGTATTGCTAGTGATGGAATCATATCTTTAGAGATTTCTGAGGAACATTCCCCGTGGATGTATTTATGGAAAAGTCAAAGTTCTCCGATTTTTCTACGATGTTCTAATGAAGTCAATGGATTAGTGAGTGTGGCATCACCCAGTAGGCGAACGGCTCTTCTCGGGATGGAATCTAAGAGCATCAGTGTATGTTTGGGTGCTGAACCCCATATGTGGGAACAGTATTCAAAAACTGGCCGTATCTGTGCTGTGTAGATCATGAGAAGCTGTTGAGGAGGAGTTCTTGTGAAGCAGCTTTCGAGATGGATCGGACATGATGTTTCCATGTAAGAGTATTGCTGATGGAAAAACCGAGCATATATATAGTGGTCTTGGTGGGAATGGTGGTACTAGCCATTGTTACATCGGGCATTCTGAGTACCGATTTTCGAAAGAAAATACAACCTTGAGTTTTGGTGGCGTTGAATTCAACTGGGTTGCTGGTTCTCCAGGCTGTAAGTTCTTAGTTTCCTGGGAAGCAATGAGAATCCTAGGGGAGATCGCAATATGAAGTGTAATATCATCTGCAAAACTGTGGATAGGGCAAGTGGTTGCTCCCAACAGATCATTGATATGAAGTAGGAACAATGTTGGTGTCAAACTGATCCTTGTGGAACGCCGGAGGTGATGGAAATGGTATCAGACGATACTCCGTCCACCACCACACGGAGCGATCTACCTGGAAAGAAAACTCGATGAGATATGACATAGCTGAGGTGGTAATTCGTATAATGGTAGTTTTTGAGAGAGTCCAAGTGGGAGTCCTGGGAGATTTCCCATGTTTTTCCAATGAAGCTTGCCATATATGGGTGACGTAGGCAAGTAAATCTCCAGTTGATCTTCGGTGGCGAAAGCCATATCGTCTATCATTAATGATTCCTGAATTTTCCAGATATTTGATGAGCTCTATGTTGATGGTTCTCTCCATCACTTCGGAGATGACTGATAACAAAGCAATTGGAATAACTTGCAGAGAATCGGTGCACACTTATTGAGAACAATGCGTGGAATTGCATCAGGACCGTTAGTCTTATTAGTTTTGACACCGAGCAAAATGCGTTTGATTGTTCGTTGACGCAAGACGATTTCAGGCATTCGTGTTTCAAAGTATGGCATAATCTGGTGGCACTCTTCTCTGGGAATCTGAGGTGGAGTTTGCTGAGAAAAAATTTGCAAAAATGTTCGCTTTCTCTTGCGATGCAGTTGCTAATGTGACGGCTGTGGAGAGTGATGGAAATGAACTATTACTGAAATTTTTTCTGACTGCTTTGGCGAGGGATCAAAACTTACGGGAGCCATTGGGATAGACTATGAGTTTTGATCTTATTTTGGCATTATATGATCCTTCCGATGCATCTATTGTTTGGCTCCAACAAATTCTGCTCTCGTAACGAGGGTAGGGTCCTTGCTCCAGCGATGGTTTGTTTCAACCCAACAGCTCAGGAACAGTTCTTGTTGAACCAGGGTATCGGTGATGGTCTTTTCGAATAATAAGGGATAAATGTGTCCATTCCAAGCCTGATGATCTCGGATATGATCCTCAGAATCGAAGCAACACGCAACCGTTTATCATCTTCCTTACTCAAAGGACATCAATGGCCTCTGAATAAGTGTTCATAATGCCTTTCAGATGAAAAACATTGATATGAAATCCAGACATATTATGCCTAAGGCAGCCGACTGAAACTTTTTTGAAAAGGAAATAGCCAAACTATCTCACTCTAAGAGAGACTACGAGTTTGATGAAACAAGTAATATAGGCTGATGGTAACCCTCCGGAAAAAAATGATTCAAAATCAGTTTTTTTTATTTTATTTTTTTATGTTCTGGTCCCCACGAAAAGGGATATCCTGTAATGTTCAGAGAACATCGTGAGAACCAAGGAAAATAAGGTAGGAATTGGTGTTCATCTTAAATTTCTGGAGGTTATATGCCTCTGGGAACACCTCCCTTGGCAATGTGTTCCAAAGCCTTGCTGTTCGTTGGATGAACGAGACTTCGAGATGAGTTATTTGTAATACAGTGAAGCGTGATTATCGTGCCAGCCCTATATAATATTGTGCAAAAGACTGAATGATCGATTCGATGAAGAATTTTACAATTTGCAATTCAAGTTAGTGAATCCATAGAGAACACCCCAAATGGAATATACTTTCTCCTCAACTTTGGTGTATTGTTGCCTAGGACCTTCTCATCAGACTGAGCACATATAGCTACGTGGATGAGATCATTATTAACATGAGAGAAAAGTATATCAGGATATTATCATGCTCTAGTCAACTGCAATCAAAATCAGTATTTGCAATGACGCCAAGGAATCATCTCTGACAAGAAATACTTGGAATCAACAATAAACAATTGACAGAAATCGAGAAAATGAAAAAATCTCAGGTCTCCATATCAGCTGTTGAGATCGAGAACGATATATATTGGTTTCACGTCACTCGAAGTAATTACCACACAATGTTCATAAAATAAACAACAATGGTAGATTTCGGAAGGAAAACAACTACTTTCCTGGCTAATGCCACGCAGAACATTAAATTATATGCTCCCGAAATCTATGCATCGGTTCGTATAGACGAATACTGAAACAAGTGAATCTTTCCTGGATGCATATTGGTTTAAATTTAGCCAGGCCACATTAGACACCTACAGACCGCTTTCGAGCTCTTCGACTTTCATCAGTGCAGGGCAGTCTCCAGCCAGCAGTCCTAAGACCGCCGATTCCTTGTGATATTTTAGGAAATAAAGTTCATATAAAAATGTACTAACTTGCGTCTACTTGAGATGGTGCCGAAATTCAAAATGGTTTGAGACCGACAAAGTCCCAAAATTTCATAATCATTCTTCTTGAGGTTATTGAGTATTCTCATTGTGTCCTTTCGTATACAATATGGTCGTACAATCCTAACCGAGATAAAAAAGTAACACAATTGATGAAACACTTGTTACATCTTTAGTTCAATCTAAGAAAAATATATAACTCAGAAAAACCAGTGGCATATATACAATGATACTCACCAAAAATATCGATAAATCAATCCACTGTGACGCCACTAGAAATATTATCTTGAATCTTCTCACACCAAAAGAAGCTTCATGTTTCTATCAACAAAACCACCAAGTTTCATCGAAATTCATCAATGACATTTGAGTAATGAATGGAAAAACAATTTTTCATGGAAATATTATTACCCTGTAATTCAAAAACGAAGGAAGTCAGAACACATGTTGATATGAATTTTATTTGCTTTCGGGTGTATGATAAATTGACATTCATCATACAGGGCGTGGAAAGAAATTCTGAATTGAGACTCTATCACGAATCTGCGATTAGAGGTCTATAAAAATCACAAGTTTTCATCGTTCAAGTTTGAACCCCCTGATTGGGTATGAAAGTGTTGAAAAGGAATATTCTCAGATAAATTATGGACATACAAAAATGGATATATATATTTATATGAAGCAATACATTGAGAATTCGCATTCTCTATGTGATGAGAATATCTACTCTTTTTCAGTTTATTCAATAGAAAACAACTACTTTCCTGGCTATATGCCACGACGAACATTGAATTATATCTATTGAACACACACGATAAGAGTTTGAAAATAAAATATAAAAACTTCTGAAATTGAGAATTTGCATTCTCCTTCAGACAAAAATATGTATATGCACACATCATTCTGAACATTCAACAGAAAACAACTACTTTCCTGGCTATTTGCCACGTCGAACATTGAATTACATCTATTGAACATACACGATAGTAGAGAATTTGCATTCTCCTTCTGATATCTGATGAACATTGCCAGTAAACTTCTCCTATACATTCCAATTTTCATTTCAATGCTAAATATATTGGTAAGTTATATTTCTATATCATTATACATCATATTATTCATCCGATTTGAAGAATGTCAATTCTCAATTTCGGAGGATTTTATTTTTTCATGTTCTCCTTTTGAATGTTCATCAGATATAATTCAATGTTCGACGTGGCAAATAGCCAGGAAAGTAGTTGTTTTCTATTGAATAAACTGAAAAAGAGTAGATATTCTCATCACATAGAGAATGCGAATTCTCAATGTATTGCTTCATATAAATATATATTCCTTTTCAATGAATTTTATTGCCTAAAATATCACAAGGATATAACCCCCTGAAGTTTGTCGCACTTAATAACTAACACACTGTATAAATAAGTAATTCATTAAATATTTGAATATGGCGAAAGAATTTTTTAAGAGGATCTTGGAATTTTTGTTAATGGTATGAACTTTCAATTTTATTAAACCTTTTCCATTCTCTTTCGATAGTGAAAATATCAAAATAATACAGGGTGTTCCTTGATGATATGCTAACATTCAAGGAGCCGATTCTTCCACCTATTCCAAGAATAAAACTTCATATGAAGGTATATGTCGTAAACGTCCAAACTTTTGAGAAACAGGGTGAACAATGTTGAAAATATGCATAGATTTTTTTTTCCACCCTGTATAGCTTTTCGTGATGGCAAAATTCAGTCTGCTATGTGACTGAATCGGTACACAAATCTCAAAATGTTACATACTGTGGTTATCCAGTAATCGATGTCCTGAATGGAGTACTCAGACATCAAAATTTGAAGTCTGGTATCGTTTTTCTGTTTTTTCTCGAAAACAAAGCGTTTCTATCCAGTATCAACAAGAAGATTTTTTTTTTACATAATTAAATAGCCTTTCATGACATTGTATGAAATTTGAATTTTTCTTGTCGTTGCTCACTTTTAAGTAAAATATAAACAATAATATTCCCTTAACGGTGCCACTGGTAGAGAAAATGAAAATTTTTGTACATCACAAAAAAGCACCTTGATACATAAAATACGTGTACTAAATTTTATGAAGATGTATACAATATTGTCACAGTTTTTATCAAAAAACCGAATATTTTTCAAAACTTCATCACCCTGTATCTCAAAGGTTAAGATTTTTAAGGACATACGGTCATATGAAGTTTTCTTCTTGAAATATGTCAGAGAATCACCATCTCGAATATTAGAATGCCTTCAAGAAACAACCTGTATAAGAGGAAACAATATAAGTGAATAGTGAACACTAATATCTCAAAGTTTGACATTTTCAAGATACCAAGTGAAAATGACACTTACCTTATACAGTTTTCGGGATCATTCTTACAATCTGTGTTGCACCTGAACCTCTCCCATGCCAGCCAGCCCATTGGAGGTGTTCGGGCGAGACCATTCTCCAGGGGTGTCACGCTACTTCCTAGGTAAATCACCAGCACTGCAACGGTCCATATTTTGTTCATTTCACTTGGTTGCCTCAGATATAACCTAGAAAACGGAATTTGGAGAATTTTTCCAGGAATATTGACATTGGATTAGTACAGGGGGAAGAATAAATGAATGTTTCAGTGAGATGCGGATTTCATTCCAGATATAAATGAAAATTGTGATACCGAATCGACCTCTCATACCTGTTCAAAGCAATGGCAATAAGGTATAGCCTATGGTTATTATTATTCATAAATTGTTTTCTGTATTTTCCTGTAGGCATTATTATTTACACGTCCGGGAATAGTTTGACCAAAGTTAGATCATAGACCAGGACCCCACAACGTGTTTTTGTGTCCCATTTGTCCACAGTCAGCAGTATTAGGAACCCCCCAAATTCTACCTTGCACTACAGGGATATTATGAGGTCGCCTCATGAAAATTGTCGCAAGTTACTGTAGATTAATTCGGGTTCCGATTTCAGAACTGTTCAAGAATCGTTCTCGATTTGCGCAGAACTAACGCGCAGTCGTTTCGAACCCTAGGACTGTTTCAGAACGGTTCACAAATTACGAAATCCCGAACGCGGAAGAAGAGAACCTCTGAGAGAGAATTTGCGAAAAAAAACAATGGTTTGAGTCCTGTATCTTTATTGGAATGGTATTCTGAAGCTTCTCCTTTTAGTATGTTCACAATATCTCTGGAAACCCCATGTGGAGGAATGGTACATATATTGCACCATAGCATTTGTAGCTAGTTTTACAACATGGTTTTGACCCTTGAACCTACATGAATTTCGACACCCACCTGAAATATACAATGATTGTGTATCTGAATATAATGGCAAAGTTTCCTCAACATAACAGTTCATTTTCGGTTATTCTAGCAACAGTTCTAGGATCATCAGATTAGCAACAATATTTTCAGTAACTTCAGTGAGGAACTTCTTCACCACTTCTTCCTGACGATGAAGAACTACTTCTATCAAATAAATGTACTCACTCCGTAATATTGAGAAAATATTGAGAAGAGCAATATAAACAGTAGAATAAACAAAAATATATCATTTCGACGTTACCTTACAACAGACAGAATCGAAAATCAAATGAAATATTGAAATTAGCATGCGCCAAAAATAATCCCAGAACGGTTCTTGCTCGAAAGCAGGTTTCGGATAGTAAAGAGTCAATCCTAGAACAGTTTCACAAAACCCGAACGCGAGCGTTTCAACAGCGCAAACTCCTGACAGTTCTAGAACAGTATCTAGTTGTTCAAACCCGAATGAACCTACACAGTGGCACTGTATACAGTGTCGATTTAAAAGGACTTGAACCCATTGAAAGAGGTCAAAGTGAAGGGGAGTAAAGGGTGAGGTGAAAATTCCACACGTTTTGTTGTTGAAAGGCGACCTGAACTCAAAAAGACTATACTCTCAATAGAGAATTAAATTCTAAGTTTATGCAATGGTAACCAGTTCAAATTGCGCTAGGGAATCGTTCCCATGGAAATATGCCCAAGCTGTATTTTGATAAAAACCTCAATAATAACTTGGTGAGATAAATTGTCAATTTTAGCAATATTTATGCACAACAAAAAAATCGGATGGTGAATTTACTGCAGACGAGATGTACTGCTTCATAGGAGTGTAACTTGTCAGTGGATATACAACTGTTCCAAGGCGACATAATATGTATTGACAAAATTGCAACGAACTTTCATCAGCCGCTTTTTCCAAAGATAGATTCCAATTCACATCAACCTTGATAAAGATAACAAGTACTCTGAGCTGCATTCCCTTTTCAACAGCCTCAATGAAAAGTTTTTGATCTTGCCCCAGTTGGAGAGAATCACAGCAAGCAATTCATTAGGGGCAAGCCTATAAGGTGGGGGGTACACATTTCAAGTGGATACATTGTTTATTCTGATCCCTACCAAGGTGAGTCGACAACAATTCCAGACAAAATATGCTTTACCAGCCCTTTCACCTCCTTTTTGACAATTTTCTCACATCTTTGTTACTCTTGAACTCGCTCTTGTAGGAGCTAAAATTTTGTGAGATATAATATGAAAATATTTTCAAATCTTCATTTACTTCTCTAATAGCCCTTATACTGCCGTCCTTTTAAAAGGACCACTGTTTTTTTCCAAAACTGGAGATCAAAAAATTTTTATGATTTCCTCTCGTTTTATTGGACCTTCTATTGATCGATTTCAAGAAAATAATATACAAAATCGGAAAAAAATTGTTTCAGGAAAAATTTTCAAAATGACCTCTATCGACCCACAGACAGTGATAACTGTAGATTACTCATGAAAAAAAGAAACATTTTTTTCCTTTTCGAAATTTTTCTCCGGGCTTCCGTTATCAAGATACAGGGCGTCAAAAAAATACGAAAAAATCTGTTTTTTGTTACTATCTCAGGAACCGTCGGAACTACGGAGTTAAGCCTTCGTACACACTGCATCATCAATAATGAATACTTTTAGGGGCTTTTGATCAATTTCCTTGGAAATGTCAGTGGAGGAGAATTCAACGCCTCGTGAGGGTTTAACCCCCCAAACATTTATGCCACTGGAGAAATTATAATTTTCAAATTAGATTCTGAAGCGCCAATATCTTTCACACAAAAAAAACGTCCTCTTGTCTCAATGCTCTAAAGTAAAAAATTTCCGCGAAAAATGAATAAGAACATACAAAATCCTGATGGTATCTCCAAAAATCGTCTAAAAATCCACTGGAAATAAACACCTCAGAACTGTCTAATAATATGTTTAATCAAATGTCAGGTTCTTGAGTATGCTGGTCTCGATGCTGGTTTCCAAATTGTTATCTTGAAAACGGAAGCAAGGAGAAAAATTTTGAAGAGGAAATAAATGTTCCTTTTATCATGAGGAACCTACAGTTTTCCGTTGTGACACTTATTTGTTAACACCCTGTATTAATATCGGATTAAATGACCCCGAAGAAAAAAATCCATTTGATTGGAACATTTTGGAATAGTCAGATTGGGGTAAATACATGAGATAACTCAAGTAATTTATATTATGATGACTTTTAATTATATTCTCAGTCAGATTTACGGAAACCCTCGAGAAAACCTAATCCTTGAGACTCGCCTTGAGATTCAAGTAATTTGATGGTAGCAACAATTTCTCTCAGAATTTCCATCCAATAGTTTATCTAACGTTCATCTTGTTCTTTCAAACCAGTATCCATTATTCCAATTCGAGTTCCAATTAGGGATGATCTTGTTATTAACGCAACCATGGAGTTCAAATGCGATTTAATTTCTTCATGAGGGAGTCAATCATTCGAGATTTTCAAGGGAGAATTTATCGATAATGGCAAAAAAATTCAATCATTTCAACAGGTGTTCGATAAAATGTAGTAGATTCCGGAAAAATAACAACTGATGTCACGCAGAAAATTGAATTACACCCTCTCGAAATCTATGCAACGATTCATATAAACGAATAAGCATTCAAAGTGTTTATATTGTAGCCAGGTTGACGCTCGACACCTGCAGACCGGTTTTGTGCTTTCAGCCTTCATCAGTACCGTTTAGTCGCCAGACTACAGTCCGAAGTTTGCCGTCTATGCGAAACGTGCCAAACGAAAACCCAAATCGGCGTATATCGGCTCAGAGAGTATGGGTCATGGCAAAATTGGAACCGCGATATCAAGAACAGAATGGAAACCATCCAAAACTGACATTCTCATCTTGGTAGGAATAGGAAATAACTCAGAGTCATTGCCACAAGTTAGTGTTCAATAAGACTAACAATAATGGTGGGTGACGGGAGAAAAACAACTAATTTTCTGGATAATGCCATGCAGAATTGAATTGAAGAAATGAGATTTATTGAGTTTACTGATTGTAAAATGATAATAACAACATTTTATCATCGATTAGGTAATTATCACGGTGTGCACAAAAATAACTAGTGATTATTGACATACATCACATTATTTCTCGTCGGTCAACAATCAAGTTCACGGATATTTATAGGAATGGAATCATCTTAGAATTCGAGATTTATGCAGTTCGTTAAACTTTAATTGTACCTATCTCAATTGAACGAGAAAAAGAGATGGGATTGTCGCACTGGAAGAGCGCCTTACTTATGAGGCGTGTCAAAAATCTGCACCAACTTTTAAATTTTGAATAGAAACCTATACATTGTTTGTCATACGTTCTGATTTTGATTCTGAGTTTAGACAACCTAGTTAATGTCAACTTCTATAACGGTTTCCGATTTTTCTGCAAATAATTACCGCCGTAGTAGTTTACAAAAACATTTGTATCTCACAACCATTCAAGATTATACAGCACCAAATTTGTGTAACAATCAGCTGGAAGTCCCATTTTGTCCCATATGGGTGCGGATGATTTTCAAGAGTCGCATTGAAAAATGGACGAAAACTCAACTTTTCCAAATGGAACCTACTATTTTTTTGTCACCATATGGAAGAAAAAGAATTTGAGCATGAGTTACTGAAGCATTCCCTATAAGCAACTCAAACCTTCTATTAAGGTAGAAGTCGATACTTCATCAAGGTGGAGTGAATATGATTCAGGAATAAGACACAGTATCATCTCCACAACATTTTATATTGAAATAGATTATCTGAACTTGTTTCATATAGAGAACATTGTGGAATTGAAGAATTGCGAGGATATGGAAGTTATAAAAATAGGAGAATATATGTATTTATATTCAATATAAAGGTTATTTACTTACCAATAACCCAACGGCCTTATAGGAGGTAGAAAATACTACAAGTGGTTGACAACAACACCATGTTCAGATAATCTATGAATATTTATTAATTGTGAAGATGGCTTATTAGTGTGTCTCTGTCTCGGAATTTCTCGGAATTTCGTGTACCTACCTACATTATTATACTTTGTTATAAACGGTGGATTCATACACATTCATAGGATATAGGTAGTTATCACTCTGTAAAATGCAGGATGTTGTCAATTAATGATTTCTCTAGTCATATTACGACAATTTTCGGTTGCGAAACATGGATCCCAGCATTCTCACTCAATCAT